AGCCATAGATTTGCACTTTTCAAAACAAAGTCAAAAGTTTATTCAAATCCATCAGAAGTCATTTGAAGTTCAGATAAAGAATCAAAGTTCATTAAGCAATGGCTTTTTTCTTTTAAAAAATAAGGAGGTGGTGGGGGATGGAAGTGGCATTCGGAGGGTAGAAACAAGAAAATAATGACAACATTAGGCATAAGAAGAATACCTACCACTCGATCTCTAAAATTAAGAAAAAAAACCCACAACTACCGCCACCATGTTGAGTTTGAGAGAAAAAAATAATATCCAAAAATCTAATTAAACCATAGAGTTCATCCAGATATATATATTTGAACATGTTTATTGAGTTTATCTAGATTTCCAATCCATCTGAAACTCATTATAGTAATGAATAGTGGTGGTTTTGGCTGAACGAAGATGAAGATGAGAGCTAGATTAAGTCTCAAGAAAACATGCTCAAATAAAAAGGAAGTAGGGGAAAGGGGTTGTGATAGCCGTGTAGTAAAGATTTAATAACATGTCTTTTGACTAAGAAAAATTTCTTGTATAAGTACTGGAGAAGGTTTAAGACAATGTTTTAAAAACCGGTTTTTTAGTTGAAATGGTATGGTGAACGGTTTTCGGTTCAACCCGTTCGACTGCTGAATAAACCGGTTTTTATAATTTTCATCTTTTTTCATATTTTCCTACACATAAATACATACACAAATAATAATTTGATGTCCACAAGTGCAAACATTAAAATACACATGAAAACAAGTTGTAAATCAATCTAAATACATTAAAATAGCTCATAACCGTAAGTTTTACATCAATCCACATGCATTAAAAAGAAAATAAAGGCCTAGATGAATATATACGCATCAAAAAACTTCATAACATTTATCATTTGTTTTTATTAAGATTTTTTTTTTCATAAATGTGAAAAAAATACTAAAGTTTATTATGCAAATGGTTTCATATCTATATGTTTTTATTCAATTTAATCGATTCAACGGATTTTTATATAAACCGGCCGATTCGATACGGTTCAGAAATAAACATAAAACCGGTGATAGTTGAACCGTTCCCTTCCCCGGTTCCCGGTCCAACCGGCCGGTTCAAACCGGTTTTTAAAACATTGGTTCCAGAGTAATCCCAAACACCCAAAATAAATACTACTTTTATGTCATGGGGGTGTTTGAGATTGCTTATTTAAAGCAACTTATGCTTATTTGTAAAAATGCTTATTAGCTTATCTGATGTTATAACGAAGTTTTAGAAAAAATGTTTGGATTAGCTTATTTGATATCAAACCAAAATAAGTTGATAAGTTATTTTAGTGTTTGGCAAACTATTATATTTTATCTGTAATATTAAAACAACTTATCAAAAACTCCTTAATAAGTCAATAAGTAAGAAACTGACTTATCAAAGTTCTTATTTAAGTCAATAAGTGTTTATCAAATATTTTATTCAAACACTAAAAACTTCTTATTACCGACACCAAACGAGAATAAGTCAATAATAATTTTAAATAAGCAATCCCAAACACCCACCGAATAAGTAACAATGAAGTAATTTATAAGAAACACATTATTAAAGTCGGTATATGCCTTAAATATTTTATATCCAAACACATAAGATAATTTATTATTAATGTGAAACAACAAGAAGTAAATAAAAAATATTGGATTTTGAAATTTCAATATCCATTCATTTTTTGTAATCCAAAAAATATTAATATTGGTTTCTTAATTGATATATATATATATATATATATATATATATATATATATATATATATATATATATATATATATATATATATATATATATATATATATTTATGATTTAATACATACTAGATAGTAATAATTAGTAATTAAACTTGCATTTTGTCACAAAATTTTATGTATTTTTGTTGTGTATTAGAAAAGTTGAGTAGGAAAAATCATATATATATATATATATATATGGGAACGAAGGATAAACACATAAATTTAGAAAGTAAAGAATTGCAAATAACGAATTATGCAAAGTTGAAGGCTTAAAGTTGCACTTTATGCATTTACATATTTGTATGTTGTGTTCACGTTGTAGTATTAACTAAAATTATTTTCTGTATTGAGAGGGTTCAAGTAACATTCTAAAAAAAATGGGTGAAAAATACATTTTACAAAGTAGAGAAGAGAAAATTGCATTTATATATACTACGAGATAAACAAGAAAGTTTAGAAAATGAAAGAGGTGAAAGTGATATTTTATAAAGTTGAAGCTAGATGAGGTGAAAGTGATATTTTAAAAAGTTAAGAGATGAAAAATATCATTTTAAAAATTAGAGTGGTTGAAAGTGACATATTATACAAAGTTGATAGATTAAAATTGCACTTTACACATTGACATTCTTGTACATTTTGTATTACCACTTTACCGGGGATACACACAAGAGTTCATAAATAAAGATGTGAAAATGATATTTTAGAAAGCTCAAAAATTCATAAATAAAGATGTGAAAATGATATTTTAGAAAGCTCAAAAATTCATAAATAAAGATGTGAAAATGATATTTTAGAAAGCTCAATGTGCATGAGGGTGAAAGTGATATTTATAAAGTAAAATTTTACAAAATAAAGGGATTGCAAGGAACGAATTATATAAAATTGATGGATTAAACTTAAACTTTTCGCATTAAACTCTCCTACATTATATAAAGTTGATGGATTATACATCAAAATATACATTTTTAGCTACTGAATTTGATTTTTGTATATATTTATAAAATGCCACTAGATTGTTACATACATGAGAATTTGGTTTTTATTTATATTTATAATATAAAATATTGGGTTTTGAAATTTCAATATCCATTACTTCTTTGTAGAAAGTCTTGTGTATAGCAACTAGGGCCGGCAAAATTGTACCATCGAAAACCAACCAACATGTTACCAATCGAAACAAGAAACATGGTAGCTAATATATTTGGTAGCCAACATGTTTGGTTGGTAGTACAATACCAATTGATCAATGTTGGTATGATAATGGTACAAAAAATGGAATACCATAGTAAGATCGTACCAACCAATTCATATATATATATATATATATATATATATATATATATATATATACATACACACACACACATATATTTCAACTGTTAATTGTATTTAGTGTTTACAGTTTTAATAATATTATATTAGTCATTTGGTCGTATTAGTCAATAGTTATTACCACTTTAAACTACAATATTAAAACGTTACTTTAGCTTTACTTCAATATAATTCTTTTGTAAACTAAAAGAACTACGTAACTAATTCCTATACTACACATCAAAATCCCGCTGTCTTTGCTTATTTTTAAATCTTATAAAATAAAATTAAAAGAAGTTGGTATATACCATTACCAATTTGTACAAACCAAACTTGTTGGTAGCCAAATAAATTGGTACCAAATATACTTGGTACGGTACCGATAGCAATTTTTTATACCAATTATAGTTAGTACGGTACACAGTTTAGAGAAAAATGAATTGATACCGTACCAATTCCATCCCTAATAGCAACAAGTGGTTTTGGCACTCGATAACCTTTGTGTGACATGACAATTTTTTAATGTTCATAGCTTACGTAATGTAGGCTATAAATTACATATCAATCACTAAAATAAAAAGGTTTGTTTCTTAATACTTTACTTTTTGTTCATATGTAATATAAATAAAGGCTCTTTGATAAATACAAAATACAATTAGTATTGAGCTATATTTTACAAAAAAAACTTGTTTCTTAACACTTTACTTTTGTTCATATGTAATGTTAAATATAAGCTCTTTGATAATATAAAATACAAATACTATTGAACAAGACTTAATCATTATAAAAAAGTCAAATAATTTTTCTTAGAATTGAAACTTTAACATTAACAAATAATCATACAATCATCAAAATTAAACAATGGTTTTATATTTTGTACAAAAAAGTTTATGAACTAGTATTACCGTTTGTAATAAATGTTTATGATAGTCTCAAAATTTCTATAAAAAATGATGATAAGAATTATTTTTAAAAGTTTTTATTGTAAAATAACTAAAAAAGTTAGAAAATGAATAAAATAACATAATCGTTACAGGTGGAGCACCAGCAAAAATATAGATTTTCGTAGTTGTCTGTTATTATTATTATTATTATTATTATTATTATTATTATTTATTTATTTATTTATTTATTCAAAACTTCGAACCTTCAAAGTAGGTTGTTTTAGTTGAATTTGAGTTAAATTTTTATTATGTTACTTATAATAAATGATAAATACATTAAAATTTTCATAGTTTTTGCATACAAACTTCATAACTATCGTCATAACATTTGGATTTTCCCAATCACAAAGCTTCCTACAAAAATATTTTTAAAATAAATTTAAAAATAACATTTTCACTTTAACATACAAACTTTGTGATGATCATTATATCATTTGAATTATTCCAATAACAAGGATGACCTAATATAATTTGAAAAAAAAAGTTGCAATCAACCTAGATTTTTGCAAATACTAAAATCTTAAAAAGACCATCAACATTTCACTGATGGTGGCCTACAAAAATTGTTGCCAACTTGATATTTTTCATTCATATGACTACTATGGTAAACAAATTTAAATAATAATTATTATAATCTTTATCTTTTAATAATTTGTTGTTATCTAACATTTAAGTTTTTAAAGTAGGGAAATCAATGATAAAGTCCTAATAGGTTTAATCTAATTTTTATTTTTTAAACAGAAAAATCTTAATTATTTTATATTTTGTTCAAATTAACGAAATGGTTCTTATTTTTTTTTTTTCAACAAAAAATGATAGATTATCGTATAAATTAGATTTTTCTGTTCAAAAATAAACGTTAAGATTAAACAATAAACTAAATTAAAATATTAAGATTTTATTGGAGATTTTTCACAAATAAAAAAATAAAAACATATTTTTTTTTAATGTAAAGAAAAACATCATAAAATATGAAAAAACAAGAAAAATAGCAAGGGTCCGAGAGTCGAGTTGCCATGGAAGAAAGCAAAAATCACATTTTTGTAAATCCCTTTGACAACAATATACTCCAAACTTTTTTTTATCTCTTTCATCTTTATTTCTTCGAACTTCAAACCCTTAAATCTCTCCATATCTTGTTCATAATCTTTCTTTGTTTGTTCTTTTAGATTCCACGTGTATGTGATAATCACAGATTTGCATCTTACTGATTCATACAATTGGTAGAAAGGTTCGGGTCTACGATTCTTCTTTCCTTTTTCAACACTCCCCCATTTCATTTCATCCATCTCTCCATGTGATTTCCAAATCATCATCAAATTGGCAGAAAAACCACATGCTTCTTCCTCCTAATGTTTCGATCGCCATTTCCCTACCTATAAGTTCCCACAAACCCTATCTCCACTAAACTTATCTATACTTCATCATTAACTTCACCAGAATTTCTCTTTAATCAGCTGACCCAGATTAGTAGATTTATAGATTACGCACACACCCACCTTGTCTTCTAAGCTTATATTGGGGGATCGAATTCGCAATTGGAGTTTAAAATCGAGTTCAACACTTCTCTGTGATCGGATTGGTGCTATTTATTACTGGGTGTAAATTAGATACGACAATAGGACAAGTGCGAGATCGATCTAGGTATTACAGAGTCAACATTTTTGGGTTGAAGAAATTGAACATACAGGGGTCAAGATTTTGGATCCAGTCGGAAGCGTAACAGCGCCATTAGATGGCGCTGTTCAAACGCTTCTTTTATCGCAAGCCGCCGGATCGCCTCCTTGAGATCTCCGAGCGGGTTTACGGTATGTTTCTAATTAAAGCGCCACACAATTTCGCTTATCTTCTAGAATCTCGGAATCCATAGAAGAATCTAAGTTCACCTGCTAAATATTCTCAACACATTATTCAAATTCCCTCTTTCCCGTTTCTTTTGGGTTGAATTCGTAATTGGTTGATTATTTCTTCGAATTTTACTCAAACAGTTCGATTTTTTCTCCTGTTATATCGGATTTATCATATGACCTTACTTCAACCACCATTTTCTGTTTCAAATATCTTTCTTCTAGAGTTGAAATTTGTGGGAAATTTGGTATATTTTCGGTCCAAAACTTTTCTACCTTCTGATTGTCAAAAATTATTTGCAGTTTTTGATTGCTGCTTCTCGAGCGAAGTACTGGAAGAAGATGAATACAAGATGTACATGGGTGGCATTGTTGCAGAACTCCAAGACTACTATCCCGATTCATCTTTCATGGTTTTCAACTTCAGAGAAGGCGACAAAAGGACCCAAATTTCAGACATATTATCTCAATACGACATGACAGTAATGGAGTACCCTAGACAATATGAAGGGTGCCCAATGTTACCATTAGAAATGATCCATCACTTTCTTCGATCCAGTGAAAGCTGGTTATCATTAGCAGGACAACAAAATGTCCTCTTAATGCATTGTGAAAGAGGAGGGTGGCCTGTTCTTGCTTTTATGCTTGCAGCTCTTCTTCTATTTCGCAAACAATACAATGGTGAACAGAAGACTCTTGATATGGTATACAAACAAGCCCCTAAAGAGCTTCTTCATCTTCTAACACCTTTAAATCCACAGCCTTCACAGTTGAGGTATCTTCAGTATATATCAAGGAGAAATTTGGGTTCTGATTGGCCACCTTCAGACACACCATTAGCTTTGGATTGTATCATACTTCGCGTTCTTCCCATTTTTGGTGAAAAGGGTTGTCGACCTGTTGTCCGTGTATATGGTCAAGATTCATCTTCAACAACAGCCAATAGAAGTTCTAAGCTTTTGTTTTCATCTTCAAAAACCAAAAAACAAGCGCGTTATTATCAACCAGAAGAGTGTGAGCTTGTGAAGATTGATATTCATCATCGTGTACAAGGTGATGTTGTTCTTGAATGCATACATTTGGATCATGTAAGAGAGGAAATGATGTTTAGAGTAATGTTTCACACAACGTTTATTCGAGGTAATGTGCTTATGTTGAGTCGCGATGAAGTTGATGTCATGTGGGATTCAAGAGACCAGATGCCCAAGAACTTTAAAGCAGAGGTAGGAAAGTCGAATGCTTTTATTTTTGAATCTTTTTTTTTTTGAGAAGTGAAAGAAGTTGAATGCATATACTCATATATATAGATACATGTATTATCAGGTGATTTTTTCGGATGCTGATGCTCTATCATCTATGATCAACACAGAAGGAGAATTTGAAGATGGGAGTGAGACAGAAAGTCCTACACCTGAAGAGTTTTATGATATGGAAGAGATTTTTAGTAATGTAGTTGATACACCAGATGCAAAAGTGGAATCTGAATCTGAATTTGAATCTGATACTCTTTTAACTATAAAAGACAATGAATCGGATGCTGAAAATTATGATATAGTGTTAAAGGAGGAAGCACAACCTGATAATAAGGTGAAAAAAGGGAATGATTTGGGGTATGTAAATGGTGGTTTGAAGCTTACAGAGGTGGTTGCTAATGAAGTTGAAATAAAAGATAAAGAGGAAAGGGAAGAGAGTCCGGGGAAGAAGGGTAAAGATGGAAGAAAAGTTTTGGGGAACTCAAAGCAAAAAGGAAAGCCACCGGAAGCTTCTGTGAATTCAAGAATTGCAAAAGCGAATGTGGTGTCAAGGTGGATTCCTCCTAATAAAGGATCGTATACGAATTCATTGCATGTGTCTTATCCACCAACGAGGTATAATAGTGCGCCACCTGTCCTGGCAGAATTGGGGGAGAAAAAATCAGGTGAAGGTGCAGGGAATAAAGCAGAGAATGGATCAAAGAAAGATGTTAAAGTGGGCGAGTCTTCACCTGTTCGGCGATCTGGTAAGTCTCTGGGTTCTGGTGCCTTGAAAGATCTTGTTGGA